TGGCTGCTGGAGGCGCAGCTGGGGAAGGTGCGCTTGGAAAAGGAGAACCAGCGCATCGCCGACCTGGAAGCTCAGCTCGCTGCAGCTCAAGGGGGGAGTCTGAACTCACCCCCAGCTGCAGCCAGCACGCCCGTACAGAGCCAGGAGGAAGCAGAGATGGAGCCCAGCGCTGGGGAGAGAGAGGCCACGCTGTGCACCAGCCTGGTACTGTCCCTCATTGGCTGCTGCGCTTGTTAGTTTTTGCTTGCAGAGGACATTTTCCGCCCATGGCACTAGTGTCTGATTTGCTTCAACAAAGAGAGTATTATGGCTCTTTTCTTGTGGCCCCCACGCTAAGCAAGTTTTTGCCTAATGAAAGCAAGACTTCCAATGCGCTGAGGCAGCAGAATAGAGGAGAAATGTTGTTTATGCAAGTCAGTGCAGAGTTCACAGTGCAGTCACAACCCAGGGCAGTTTGACTCACCCGTTACTGCGCTGCTTGTGTTTTACTTATATTATCTCTTGCATGGCTTGTTTGTCCTAACAGTGTTGGACGCCTGTCTGTGCCTGAAGCTTTTATACCATCTGATTTGTGATGAACTTCCTGACATGTTTTCTGTTTTCAGGTTGGCATGTTGTGCACAACACCTTCAGTCGAGCATGTAAGTTACCACACACTTAACCAGCTGACAAAATAAAACACAGAGTACCTAAATAAAAAACAGAAATGCATTTTTTAGGTATTTGAAATCATAATACTTCCTAGAACGTGAAACAAAGTTCTTCTCCAGCTGGATGTTGTGTCTGTGTGTGCAGGTGGGAGACGAGGAGTCCAGGGAGACGCTGATAAAGACTCACTACATGACCAGAGTGGGAGAGCTCACCACACAGCTCCAGATCTCAGACAGCAAAGCGGTGCACTTTCACTCCGAGGTGAAGCCCTAACCAAACTGCTGCTCGTAGCAAAGAACTGAACTTTTCATTGCATGTCACTTGGGAAGAGGAATATGAAAACTCAACTAACAACCTCCTCTAAAAGCCCAAATACATTTAGTGCCAGAACAGTCACTCGCCCTGCTCCCTCATGTGTGCTATTTTTGTCTGCTCCTTTCATATGCTTGATACAGAGAGCACAGAAACTGAATCAGAGGTTAACCTTGTTTTCTCTGTTGTTTTCGCTTTGGAAAAAAGGCAACACTTTATTTCCAAGTGTTGCCTTTTTTCACTGAGAAACTGACACCTTACATTTTTGGTGTCAGGTATCTGAATGTAGATAGCTTCTCTAAGTGACATCCGGTCACATTAGTGACTAACCGGCACGTCAGTCATCAACATTTTGTATCGTAGCAACAGGACTGCACCTGATCTTGAGTCACAGCCTCGGGAATTAATCTGTCACTATTTCAGACTCTGCATTTACATTTGTCAGCTGTCCTCAAAAACACCCATAAACTAATGTAAATACACCTTTATTGAAGCTTTTGAAAAAACCCTGCAAAGTATAGACTTGCTTTACATCAATCGGGGGACAGCAGTTGTTTACTTTCCTTTTTTTCTCCCTTTCTAGTGTCGAGCTTTGGCAAAGAGATTAGCCATTGCAGAAAAGTCTCGGGAGACTCTGACAGAGGAGATCAAACTGGCCACTCAGAAGATCACACGCTTGCAGGTAAGAAGCAGCCTCATTACCAAAAGAGCACATTAAGCCCATATAAGCTCAGAATACATTGTCACTATGTTGTCTGTCACACAGGATGAGCTGGCTACAACGAAAAGGAGCTACGAAGACCAGCTCAGCATGATGAGCGACCACCTGTGCAGTATGAATGAGACTTTGAGCAAGCAGAGAGAAGAAATTGACACTCTCAAACTGGGCAGCAAGGTACAGCACTCGGACTGATTCGCCTATTTATATGCTTTTTGATCGTCCAAATGGTTCCCTTTCAAAATGTAACTTCGCTCTCAGGATTTTTTGCAGCTGTCACATGCTATCAATCCCCATGTACATAAATATAAAGCTCAATCGTTTAAAAAGGAGCGATACAAATCCAGTGGGTTCAAGGTTCATTTCAGGGTTGTCAGTGAAATGTGACGTTGTAAAGTTTTCGTCAGTTATGGGGTGAAATGCGAGGTCACTGGTGGCGTCGTGGTCTGATGGGAAAAGCACCTGCTGGAACCATCTGAAGAAGTCGTTTAAAGTTAGAGCGGCAGAAAAGGAGAGGCCCCTTTTTGAAGTGTGCATGTTCCTGCTTGTGCGTACACAGAGAGCTGAGTGCTGGGAAGTTGCAGGACAGAACATGTTTGGGAGTTAAAGGTGGTGATTTTCTCTCAGAAGGCCAGAGACCAGCCTCAGCATGTTTTTACATCTTAAAACCGAATGCAAAACCAATATGAACCCTATCACCTTACTGCACTTAAACGCAACACGGTACTTTAAATGTTTTATCAATGTTGTAACTGACATTCTTTGCATTTCTTTCTTGTGTTTTCTGTTCCTTCTAGGGAAATGCCAAAAAGAACAAAGGTCGCTAGAGCTGCTCTTTAGGATCTGGCTCCATTTTGGCATCACAAAGGGCACCTTGAAAGAAGATTTGATGTGTGGAGCTTCGCAGCAGCGTCCTGGTACAAACTGTCACCATCACCAAACCACAGGACGGCTACATGCGCCTCAGATTCCTCCACTATCAAACAGAGGCAATAAGAATGAACTTCTATGGAGGCTTGAACCATTTTTAGAGTTTGACTGAGAAGCTTCCTTTTCCCCTTTTCCTTGTCACAGCACCAGTTAAAACTTAACATGATTTGCTGACAACTGTTCTCTTAAACTGTTCCGGAAGCTGCTTCTTGACCTGTTGGCCAAAGCAGGATGGAAGAGAAAGAGATTTTCCCTAAAAGGGACAGAGGAAGATAAACAGGAGGAACAGTTAAAGTTGGTTATGCTCACTGATATCAAGCCTTGAAGACCAAACCCTGTTAATCGGTGCGCTCCTGCTTTTAACGCACATGTGAGAGAAAATGAAATTGCATCATCACTGCTTATCTGTCGGAGCAGGCGAACAGAGTAAATGTTGGTGTGGCTGTATGTGTGTACCAGGCTTTACAACATGTGACTATTGTTTTACACTTAGATGTTTTTTTTTAATCAAATTAGAGATTATTTGTGCAATTGTGCCTGTATGTCCACATACAGCATAATACCCCTCTTACAACACATGCATATATCACAAGCGTATGTAAAGAAGGGCTTTGAAACCTAAACAAACAGCTAACAGACACTTGAATTCATTCCTCATGTTGGAAAATGTTCTGTCCAGTGGGTGTGGAGAAACAGGAAGAAATGTCTGCCTTGAAGCACTGATTAACTCTTTACCTAGAAGAAAAGGGTACGATGGACAAGTCAGAGCTCGTAAAACGGTGTCAGTCTGTCTCTGTGAAGTGTAACAAAAGTCTTTTTTTATTACCAAAGTAAACGGATGTGCACTCAGAAACCTGCTGTGGCACAACTGCTTCTAAATTCATGTTGTAATGTGTATGGACGAAAAAAGGGTTGACATGAATAACCCTCATTTCAAATCATGATATAATTGTACTGTATAATTTCCAAAAATATATATGTATATACACAAAGGCATTTATTCAAAGTTTACACATTTTTATTTTCCACAACATTTTGAAAAATGAATCAAGTTATTTTTGTGTGTGAGGCAGGAAAGTGTCTGAGAGGGGTGGACCCATCTGTAACCGGTGCTTAGACATCCTGATTCATGAGTCATGGCAGAGGGCAGATAATGTTTACAGTAAAATGGCTTGAAGTGACTTGAGGAAATTAAAGGAAAGCCCAGCTTGGTTATGAACATTCTTATGGCCAGTTTACACCTGCCAGCAAACCTTTTGATCATAAAGATTTGCCAAAACCCCCAATTACTGATAAAAACATACTTGTATTCTCACAATGTAACCTGTACAAAAGCACATATAAATATGTGAAACAAAAATAAAAAGCTTGTTCAACATGTAAATGATTCATATATTGGCCAGCTGGTTATTAATGAGCATGTCTGAGTTGACTCTCCGTGCTGCGTTTCTGGGAGTTGGAGGAGACTTGGATATTAAATCGCCCATCATTTTAAAAACAAAAAACAGCTGGTAACACACCCTGTCCCCTGGGAAATGAGGCAACACCATTAAACTGGACGTATGAGGATTGGAAGATTACTTTTTGATGATGCACTTTGTGTTCGAAGGCAGAAACACAACTTTACTTGAATTTATGATGCTTTCCAATGCTCTTGGTGCACTACAGAGTTCAAAGAAATAATAAACCCCCTTTATTTGTGCTTTCAAGGGCTTTAGACCATTAATGACAACAATGACAAACAAAAAAGTTATTTTAACTTTTGTAGAGGCTGCAGAATTAGGAGGAACAATTACCAAAGATGTGCAGTGAGGGAAAAGTATTCTCCCATTATATCCTGCTTGTTGGCCCCTGCTTGAAATTATGCATTGGCAAGTAATCCACCCTATGACGGGACTGATTTTGATTTAGTTTATTACAAATAATATAAATCATCATTACAAAGGGAAAAAAACTGGGATCCTGTGGGACCCCTTTCTATTTCTTGTGTACATTTTACTGAAATAACTCCTGTAGGTACTGTGATTGCACTGTCATCAGACCAACGTGTTAATTAGATAGAAAACATGGGTTTAAGTCAAGCCTTTTATTAATTGTTTGCTTTTAATGCTTACTGCATATTCTTTGAGTAACATGAAGTACATTTGACAGGGTTTTGATATACAGCCTACGAAACCTCAACTTTAAAATGTATTAAATTCATCATAACCATAGACTGTCGAGCATAACATTTTGTATATGTCAAAACATGGGTTTATTTAATCAAAACACATGTAGACTTACTGTAATAATATCTTAATTATGTACCCTCAAGGAGAATGTTTCACTACTTGCTGTGATGATTGCGCCTATTTCCTGACTGGGACATTTCCTACTGTCTTGAACGCAGCGCCGCTATGTTCACTCCTGCAGTGTCCCGCTGTAGGACAGTCTGTGTGAACTCGGGAGGGGAAGCGCTGTTAAAACTCCCAGGATTTACACTCTGCCATTTTGAGGAAAACCGGCCGACATCAAGAGTACAGACAAACAGACGCGTCCAGGTCATGGCCTGAATACGAGAAAAAACGCTGTGAAATGTGAGTATTTCACTCTTCTGGTCGCACTCGGGTTTGTTTTTGAGAGAGCTGAGATAGTTCACGTCCGCGAGAAACGACTTAAAAAACGCTTTTGGTTTTACTCTTCGTGAGCTCTGTGTGTTGTCAGCTCAGCGTTTGGTGTGCTCAGAAAGTACTGTGCAAACTAAACAAGTGAGTGACAACTTTACCCAGGTTTTGCGTCCACACAAAGGCGCAGGAGTGATCCCAGAAGTGGGCCTCTGTGTGCGGCCTGCCTGTGTTGTGGGTGACAGCATGCTGGTACTGTTTTCTTTCTCCAGCCAGAGTTGTTATGGGCGACTAGAAACATGTCGTTTACCGGCGACTCGTGGGTCTGTCTGGCATTTAACTGACCCCACGCTGCAGAAAGTGTGTGGTAAACAGAGGTGGAAGAAGTACTCGGATGTGTTACTTAAGTAAAAGTAGTGCATTCAAAATCTAATTTGAGTAAAAGTACAAAAGTGTCGGCATCAAAATATAGGCTACTTAAAGTACCAAAAGTACTCCTTATGCGTAAAAGCCCATTTCAGAATCCTATATATTGAGTTACTGGGTTACTATTATGATTATCCATGTGTTTTTATCACAACTGGTCAATGTAGCTCTAGCTAATTTGAATAACTTTACATATATCTTAACCTATAAGTATATCTCAAAGTATATTTAATAACTGATTTAGATTACTTAATTTATAATCTAAACTTAAAAAGTAACCAAATCTGTCAAATAAATGTAGTTGAGTAAAAAGTACAATATTGGCTTCTAAAAAGTAGTGGAGTAGAAGTATAAAGTAGCAACAACTGAAAATACTCAGGTAAAATACAAGTACCTGAACATTGTACTTAAGTACAGTAGCCTACTTGAGTAAATGTACTTTGTTACTATCCAAACAAAAGTGCAACAATGTTTCAACTATGAGGAAACAATTGTTTTCCACAAGTAGATGACAATAATGCAAACACGTATTGTTGGCCCTTTGCTGAGATTTCTATTTGCTATCTATGATCGGTAAACACAACTTTGTTGGTTAGTTGTTTCATTTGAATATGTCTCTAAAGGTATACAGTGTAATTCCATAGCCTTTGTTACCTTGCGTAACATTAATAGTTAGTGTAAAAATAAAAAGTAGAGAGGAGAAAGTAACGTTTAAAGCAATATCTATCTAGGCCACTAGCAAAGTGTGCTAACATCTAAAAACTAAAAGCTGCCAGACCGAGTAAGACTGTGTACTGTATTTAATCGAACAGTTTTGTATTTTATTGATTTAATTAGATATTATCTTTAAATGAGCTTTTACCTCTTTCAAAGTTTTGCTTTAAAAATGCTCTAAAATGTTTTTCAAAGTGATTCACTATACTGAATGAGTAAACTGCTTGCAGTGTAATAGTGGAAATGCTGTTTTAGTGTTTCAGCTGACACGTCTCTCATTCATTCCCGTTTATTTTTTCCATTCATGCTTTTTTTGCACTGGAAATAATATATCTCAAATAACACGGATGTATTCACTGTGCTTATTAGGTGTGAGGAGACACCCAAACTTTCTCTTCTGCTTTGTTTCACTTTGCAGACAGCTCCAATTGTTGCCACTGTAAATAGGTCATCACATTTCAGCTTTACACTAGATCACATAGTCATTGTGGTCACACCGGTAGTACTCTCCCATCAAATGAAAACGGATAGTGTCTTATTTTTTCTGTGTACAGACCTTTCTAAGGAAAAATATCTACTCTAAAGTGTGAACGCACAGGAGCTATCCAGGGGATCCAACAGGAACTCATCTCAACCAGGAAGCATCTGTCTTCCATGTTAAAGTTCAAATATATTTTTTTATCTCTGCAGTTTTATTCTTAAACCACAAGAGTTTCCTTTCAGTCATCATTTGTCAGGCGACTGTTTCTGCTTTCTGTCATTGAGGGAATTTTTTCTGTCACAGCAAATAATACAGGAAATACAGCAGATAATACCAACATAACAAAAACCCTGTGAAATTGACTTTAATGTTGAAGTAGATGCTCATTACAAACACTGCAATTCATCTTAGTTTGAATTCCAAGATGTATCATTATTTTTCTAACATCCCTGTTGGTTAGTATCTGCTTATGACTGCTGTTCCTCTTTTTGGATTGACATGTCTGTGTGATTGTGATACATGGTCACATTATTCCAGACACATGATAATCACATGTTAAATAACTTTGGCGTTTGTTAGTTTCACTTGTTTTTGGATCCGTTTGGAGTTTCATATCAAAGTGCTGACGGGCCTCTTTTAAAGCTGATGAAAGCATCTTTTCGTAACATATTGTGACTCAGCTTTACTCAATAATTATAATTTAAAACTTACTGTAAGTAGTTGTGTATGGGGTGTTCAGTTTTGTGCCTACCCCAGCAAGTCATGATGTCATTCATGTAAGTATAGTAATAATCAGGTATTATAAACCAGAGATAATGCATGTGATTAGCGTAGTTTTTGTCTTAATTGCAATGATGCTATTTGATGGAGAGCAAGCCTCAACAGTATTTGTAAAATAGACAAAAATGGACCCTCATTAGAAAGGGTTTGCATTATATAGGAGTGTGAAATTGTGAGATTTCCTCATCTCCCAAGACTTGGGATGATAATAAAAACCGGTGTAAGTATATTATATATATATATATATATATATATATAATAGTTTGACAGAATGGTTTTATTTATATTTGTAATAAACCTAATGACTGTAGTAAGCCTATCTTAATCCCCAGGCTCCTTCGTTGTCACTGGTTTGTTTGGCAGTCATGAACAGCCAGAGACAAACCAATATTTATGGTGCATTTTTTTAAATTTGATAAAAATGAAATTAAGATAATATTTGTTGTCAGTTCACATGGACAGAGCAGGCTGGTATTTCCTGTGTGCAAAGCCTCTTGTCCCCAAGGAATGTGTGGAATGTAGTCTTTTGTCCTCTGTAGATTTAGCAGCGTTTCATTTCTGGACCGCCTGCTGTAGAACCCAGGAAGACTGGAAATGAGTTTGAAAGTCTATCAGTAACCTCTGCAGAAAACTCATCCTCCTCCTTGAACCAAAGCTGACTGATTCTCTAAATCGCAGAGGCGGGGTTGAACTCAATGAATGTCTGCGTGGCATTGCAAACACCCTCTCATTAGATAGATGTCCTCAAGTGTTTGACTGAAGACTTGTCAATCCTCTACCCTGAATCGAGCAGCTCTCATTTCCCTGTTTATTTATAGCGAAAGGAAACTTGCCACTGGATGTCTCCTTTATGCAACTCATGGCTGTGATCTTGAAGGGAGGAGGAAGGCTGTAATTGAGGCTTTCTTTTTTTTTTTCTCCACGATTTTTATGGGGAGATGAGGCTTCAACATTATGAAAGCAGCTTCTCTGTGGCCTGCGAGCCTGATGTTTGTGAGAGCCGAGCTGCCAGCACATCAAACAACACACTGTGATTGATTGAGATTATATAAAGATTACAACATGTTTACTCTCTGCCCATTGGCTAATAAGCCTGAATACCCTTGTTCTTTAGCAATATTTCCACAACATTTAATACCTAAATTGAAATATGTTCTGTAGATCTAACATCAGCGAGGATAAAACATTCATGGCGCCTTATCCTTTTAACCAGCTTTCCAGAGCGTCATGCTGCTGATGGTTCTCACAGTTGAATGCATGCTGGGTAATGAGGCAGGATCTTTGCCGCCATTGCTAACTTTTCTCGCACGCATTAAGAGAAGGCTTGCAATGAAATATTTAAACTCAGCTCATTTTAGAGCCCGGTGTTTCTAAAAGAAAAACGTTTTAGCTCATCAATTAACAATACAAAACCTTTTGAACTTTCAAAACCTTTCTATTTTGAAAGCGGGAACATTTCCTTGTCTATGCATTTACATTTCCTTCTCTTCTCCAGTAGAGAACACATTACCTTTATGTGCTGCAATACTTTGAGAAACCTAGTGTCAATTTGTCAGAATTCTGGATGCAAATTAATTTCACCTGTTGAGTATATTTGGTTTACATCAATAATTACCTGCACAAAAGACTTATCTTTGCTTTCCTAGGTTTGATTGAGAGAGTATATTTCGCAATGTGTTGTTTAGAATTACAATAAGAATCATATAACTGTTTCATTGGCCTCGCCCATGAATCAAGATAATAATACCAGTACTCCACTTTTTCAAGCAGTATAAACTCTGCAAAGAATAAAGTCCACTGAGTGATGTCCGCTGATAAACATGCTGATGTTTAGCAGGTAGTGTTAAAATGTTCATTGGCAAGACTCCCTGCAGGTAGATCAGGGTTACCTGAAGAAGGTGAAAGGCCTGAAACATTGTTTAATAAAGTTTATTGCAAGTTACTTTAACTAAGGAAGCAAAAGATGTTCATGAAAATCAATAGGTTTTGTAACACACAATCCGAACGTACCATCTAGAATAACACTAAGTAAAGAATAATGTCTTGTTTGCCCTGACCAGGGATCAATGTATAATCGTGAATACCCCTCGCTTAGTTCAAAAAACGTTTAAATAAAGTTATTGCCTGTAGAATAAGGCTACAGTGCTACATCTTTTTCTGTATTGTTTGCAAAAATGATCCAAGTAAAGAAATGGGAAAAATGTATCAGCTGTCATTATGTTGAAATTCTAACAAATGCTTTGGTTGATTCTGTTGTGTCCGTGAACTTACGAGACGATTCAGTTAATAAATGTTTGTATAAAAGATTCTCAAAAAGCTTGAAAATCAACGAAAGCTGTAATCTGCCGTGTCAATTGAAGAAAATCTCCTGCCACCTCTCTGACACCATTGCGGAGTGCTTGCTTCAGCTTTAACATTAAAAGAGCCGTGGTTAATTGAGGTGTTAACATATGTACACACGTTCCAGGTTTTCAAGGTCGGTCTCTCATTACTTCTTAATGGAGTACCTTAAGGACATATGTTTTATTGATATCCCCAGGAGCTCTTTCTCTCTCTCTTTCTGCCAACAAGATAAATTCACTTGCTCAAGCTTTCTTATGAGGACGGATGTGTTACCCCAGGAATATTTTGAGAGTTAACCTTTTAAAAATGACTTTTAAGACTAAACATTTTTAATTTCTTAATTCCTATTTGTTTTTTCTTGCAGAGGAGAAGGCCTCAGGGGGACATTCATCCCAACAAAGGAGGAATTGTTGATTTGAACAGGTCATCAGTCCTCTACAGCCATGTGTTCCACAAATCACTCAAACTGGGTCACATTTGAAGATGACACCACACCACTCTCATCCCCTCAGAAGCCCCAACAGTCACCGGAGCATTTCAAAGCAGCATTACCACGTCCCAATGGTTTGAAATTAGTTCTTCCTCCAATCAGAGACACTTCCTGGAGCTTCAATAGTTCTCTCGAATCCCCTCAAAGCCACTCAAGTCTTAGTGGAAGTTCCTGTGTACCATATAACACGCCTTTTTGCACTCCCGTGAGTGGGGTTCCTAGCGGTGCCTCCCCATTTCACTCCAACACGTGGGAAAAGAACGACTTTTTTCGCAGTCTCTCGAGTACATCTACCATCTCTGCTCCCTCTCCTGCGCCAGAGGCCTTGCACCAAACCTCAGACGGACCAAACCCCTTCCCTTCTTTCCAGGGAAACTCAGGACACTATAACCCCTTCTGGGATGGATCTAGACACAGTGCAGATGTCGACAGCTCCTCCTCAGACTCAGAATCTGAATCCCAGAGCAGCCTACCACGTTTCTTCATTCGGACCAAAGACGGCAGTGAGCCTCCACGTGACCATCTCCAAAACTCTCTCCCCTACGTTTGCCACAAACTGGAAGGCCTAAAAGCAACGGAAGCAGAGACGGAAAATGGTGGCGGGAGACGGCTAAGATGCAAAAGTGAGGTGTTAAGCGAGGATTCATCTCAGTTTGTTCCCCGGGGGCTATTTCGTAGCAAAAAGCGAGACGGCTGGTCTGTCTTGCTCCGGATTCCGGAGAAAAAGAACCGCATGTCCTCGCGACAGTGGGGGCCGATCTACCTCCGCCTGTTGCCGGGAGGCGTGCTGCAGATGTTCTACGAGAAAGGGCTGGAGAAGCCGTTCAAGGAGTTCCAGCTTCTCCCCCAATGCAGGCTCTCGGATCTTAAACTGGAAAGCTACGGCGAGCCCCGCAAAGTCCTCTCTGTCAAAGTGGAACATTACTCGTACACAGAAAAGAAACGGTACCACCCCAAGCTGGAGGTTAGCCATGAGGCGGAGGCAGAAGAGCTGCTGAAGTTTGGCTCCACAGCCCACGAAGACATGGAGGACCTGGTCGTCTCCATGGAGGAGGAAATCTTTAAGTTGTGTTTGCACCACCAGCATAGGCGGCACTACGAGGAGCAGGAGCTGTCGCTGCAGATCACCGATCATATCTGGGTACAACTAGATAAGTTTGGCGAAGTCATCGAGCGGACAGCCTTCACCCAGATTCACTGTCTCTCTTTCCTCAACGGACTAGGGGATTGTTTTCTTGCCCTGAACGATCTCGGCCTGCTGCGCTTTGACTCCAGCTACGGGTCAGAGGAGGACGGCGAAGTCTGGATGGAGATCGCAGATAGCCATTTCCACAAATGTGTGAATGAGACAGAGTTTCAAAGGTCCCGGCTGGTAAAGTTTGCACCTCCCGAGGCCTGCAGGGTGGAGCTGATGCGGTACAAGACGGAGATCCTGGATTGCACAGAAATTCCCTTCTCGGTCAAGGCCGTTGTCACAGTTCAAGGCGCCTACGTGGAGCTCCAGGCCTTTCTTAACATGACACCCACCTTCCCCTCCTTGGGGAGTGTGTCTGACACAAACCCTCTGTGTGAGAATGTAGTGATCCGTGTGCCGGTGCCAGGCGAATGGGTCAAAGTCACGCAGACAGTGGCCTTGTTGCGGCAGAGGTCGCTGAAGGCCCGCATGAACAGAAATGCCTGCTTGGGTGCTGTCGGCGCTGCAGATTCTCAGCCTGTCATGCAGGTGACAATCGGCACAGTCAAGTATGAGAATGTATATTCAGCCGTCGTGTGGAGGATCGACCGACTGCCAGCAAAGAATACGGGTAACACATTCCTGAGAGATACAAATGTAGCCATCCATATTTTCTCATTAGCTCGTTAGCCTTGCCTCCTCGTGCATTTGTACAGTATGTTTTCCGCTTGTTGGTGTGACACTCTAACTACAAGTGACCTTTGTTTCCCCTCTGCAGCAGTGGATCATCCCCATTCATTTTCCTGCAAGCTAGAGCTGGGATCTGATCAGGAGATCCCGAGTGACTGGTACCCTTTTGTCACGATGGAATGTGAAATTATGGGCGCAGTTGTGTCTGGAACCAGGGTGAAGTCGCTGGGCACTGCCAACGACATCCAGCCGCAGAAAAATGTGACCAGTTGGACGCGCTATCATTGTCAGGTAATCAGTGTTATTTTATCATGCTTAATGTTACCTTAATTTTTATATAGAAAACTGTTTATTGATGTTCAACTTACCTCATTGTCTCTTTTTAGGTGGAGGTCGAGAAGAAATTGATTGAAACCGAGTCACAGAAGCAATCCGGGTGTATGACACAATGAATATCAAAGACTCTCTGAAGACGATGTTATCCCTTTGCTCTAAGATATTTGCCCAATGGTGAAAAAGGGATGACAACAAAATGATCAAAAGTAACGGTGATGAGGGACTTTCTGCTTATATCCGGTGTCAAATTCATATAAATACACATAGCCTGCTAGTATTGCTGATGGAGCTTAACCGATTATGTATCCTTTAACTGAGACTGAATTAGTCTAGACCTAATAATGAATTTAAGATGGTCCTTTTGCATAGCACTTTACATTTAATAGTTTTATTAACTGTATGACCACAGTTTATATGAGTACTGTATATAAGCTTGCATTTGCATCATCTGCACTGCTCTCCAGAATGATTGGCAGCCTTATTAGATGCAATGGGCTGCATGAGATAAATAACTTAAGTAATCAGCAATATTCACTGAATTTGAGAAAAGGTATGAATCAGCAGGTGTTTAAAATCAGCCCTTTTTGTTTGGCAATGCTTAAAGTTCACGTACCTTCAAACTACTTCATTCTGGTATGAATCCTCCACATTTTTCTTATTTGTGTCATTGGCATTCTTTTTTTTTTGCAGGCAATATGTACTCCTTGCTTCGCCTTAAGATTCAGAACAAATTTGACATTTGAAAAAGGACAATAGTGTTGTAATTATAGTTGGACAATTGCATTGGTTCGAAGGGGGGTCACATTATGCTGAGCCCTGCAGATCAGCACTTGTGTAAAGGGACTTAATCACAATTATTAGCAATTTAGTTGAACTCACTCAGGCCCAATGCCAATTGGCAGCCATGCTCAGCAGTAAAACTATAATTAAAGCTACATTAGACAAGCACAGCATTATATAATTATTCTCACAAGTGCACACGCCTAAGAGTTAAACAAATTATTTCATATTTGAAGGGTAATTGTCTTGCTTTTGCAAAATACAGACAAAGTGCATTTACAAAGTGAAACAGCGGTTTGTTTTTAACTAACCTACATTTACTGTGCACAAATGTGTTGACAAAGATACAACTCATTACTTGTGTTGCTTACCTCAGGCTGATCGTTGACTATATACTAAGGTTGTATTCTGGAGGAATGTATTTTATTTAAACAAATCAAATCTTTATTATGTAATCTTTCTGCCTCTGGGTTGTGAGTAGGCTGGATACAAAAGAATAGTGAAGCTTCAGAGTGAGCTAACAGGCCTTCAGTGATGACTTTTCTGTATGAGGTACCTGGCTTAAGCTGGATGTTATGTACATCAAGAGTAAACATTTTTGATTAAAGCTGAATGACTCATGATATTTCTTGACAGATGTTCAGAAACTAACTTTGAGTTTATTACTGGTTAAAGTACTTGTTCAACGTGTTGCCACAGGATAACTGCACATGCATGTGACGCCACAATAATATGGCAATTATTAATTTTAAAAGGAGCTAAATAATTATAAATGAAACGCACACCTCAGCGAGTGTCAGAACAGCAAATTAACGTATTTTAATCACACTTTTGTTGAGAGCCTGAGAGACCCAGCAGTGTGTTGGCAGGCTGCTGTTCAATAAATGACATGTGATTTTCAGTAAAATTATTTTGCTGCCAATCCTCCATGCTGCTGTGTGATTAACTTTATTTGATCAACTTCCCCGGGAACCCGTGGTGATGAGTCACTATCCTGTTGATTTAATGATTTTATGTGTTTTTAAGATCTTCGGGTATTCATACTTGTTTTTTTTACTTATGGAATGTATACCTATAATTGAAAGATGCCTTTAAATGCATCAAAAACAGTATTGACTCTAAAGATGGGTTAAACAGTTGCACTCAATTCATCTAAATGGTTTAACAAAACATGTAGGAACAAATCCTTCACAATAAAAAACATTTCTGGATTCTCAACACAAAAATGTTAGATATTTCCACTAGTTGTTAGTTCTGGTTCTTCACAATAGGGGGCAGTGTTTCGAACAGTACATCGGCCATTGTAAGTTCTATTAAAACACATTTTTAAATACCTGATTTCAATGAAGTTAGTATGGCCAAATAAAATGGACATAACATAAATCATATTATATTAGTTATATGTGGGAATAAAGAGTAAGGAGTGCCTCAGCTGCTTTCAGTCCCAGCACTCTCCTCATCAGATGAGTCAACCTGTGAGTTAAAAGAGTGGCAGCATTACCAAACAGATGCTGCTTCAAACACCGAGTTCAAAATGAAGCGTCTTGTGAAATCTTTTTTAACTCCTGGTGTTTGTTCTTGGTATCAGACATTTCACTCAGCCCTGCACGCAGTGAAACATGATTCTATTGAGGGTAACTTAAAAACTAAAATATTGAAAGGTTCTGTTTGAGTATCGAAATCCACATGTTTCATTTGAGCTTCTGACAACTAAACCACTGCAGCAGCCATATTCGGTATATGAATGTTTTTGTGGTCCCAGTTGGTTCTGGATGAATGTAAAGTGGCCTACTGCTATTCACTATTCCCCCACCATATCTAAAGGAGAGCTTGAAAAAGATGTAAACATTTAAAAAAGTAATACAAATAATAATTAAATTGAGTTATAATTAGTACATTAGGCTATAGCCTACTATAAAAAAGTATTCTAAAAGTCATTATTAGGCTGCTTTGAGACCAACTAAACAAACATGGCGGTCATTGCACCAATCACAATTCTCGGTGGAGCTTGATTATTATCACCTGTGTTAACTTGACGTCAAGTTGGTGCGAGCAAAACAATGTGACTGTATCACCGTTAGCTTTGTGTATTATGTTGCCAAAGTCCACTGTCGACGGCTAGAAGGTATTTTTGCCCTGAATCATGCTGAACAACAACACAGGCCCAGTGGTAAGCAACGTTTTTTAAGTTAGTTTTGCTATGAGCTAACTACTAGCAACACTGGTGTGTGTGGCCTGTAGGCTATCTGTATGTACATTGAGTAGCATAATAAAAGCGCTCCAGACAGCACCATTACTATTCAATATAGGCTATTTCTGAGCCTCAAGGTAAAGCTCAGTGGAGGCAAATCAATCATGTACTAAGGCCATTTCCATTTTTATAAAATCTATCAATTAGTTCACATGGCTTTCTATGTAGCACACTTGCCAAACGTCAATAATTCACTTGAATTATTGACGTTTTTGGAATTTTGTATATTGCTTATCAAAACATACACAAATCACAAGCAGCTCACAGCTTCTGACTTGCAGTTTCTGAAAATAACTGCAGGCCAAACTCTACTTGTCCATAATTGATGATGTGATTGAGAGTATGCGGGAGCTCTTTTTGGATGAAGGGCTTGAAGACCGCGTCCTGGATGATTTAAGACATGTGAGTTTCATTCATAACCATATTTATCTCTAAAAATAGATATTATTCTCATCTTGACTCAAGCTGTCAGTTCCAGTAAAGTTAGTCCATCTAGCGAGGAAGTTGACAGCATAGCAGGAAGTCAGACTGCTGTTTTTTCTTGCTGTGCAGCTTTGGGAGGCAAAGATGATGCAGTCAAAAGCAATGGAAGACTTCAGGAAAAATAATACCAACTCATCCAACTTTGTGCTGCAGCTCCCTGCCAGCTACAGTCGGACAGATCAAGAACTCACAGGTAACACAGCAGGCTACTGCCATGAACTGCTTCATGCTTGCTTGATATTTGCATCACCTGCTCTGCTCTCTGCTCTTTTCTCTCAGCCTCAGTTATGATCCCTGCGAGTCACAATATCCACAGTTTCCCAATGAAGGCAAGTGTCATCAAGCTTTCCAGGACATCACCTCCATGTCCTCATGTAGCTCTTGAAGTCAGGGGCACATACAAAAGCAAAACATAACCATACTTAGTTAAATGTAAAAAGCAACTGATATTCGTTTTTGTCAATGTAATCATCACTTAATACAACATTTTGGAGTTTAAACAGTTCAGATGCATTGTTTGAAAACAATGTGATTTAAATTGGAATTGTACATTTCACAATTCAAGATGAAGAATCAACATTTGAACACCTGGGCTACCTGGGATACTTCTTCCTCTCTTGTTAAAAAGTAAATAAAAACAATGAAATATTTGACAAATTGTGTGATTGTTTACATTTAGGCTTGATTTGGTTGCCGGTAACTTTAATTGAAAAATAAATTCTGTTAACTTAAATTTATAATAGATTTGATTTCATTTAAAATCAGATACTCACTTATGGAATTGGACCAACTTGAGTACATATTTGAAAACCTGAATTTTCTACCTGTAATTATGAACCCTAAAAACACTTTTGAAATTATATTGTGAAATGACCTGAAAAATAGATTTAGTCGTTTTGAACATCATTCATGAAATGAGACAAAGGGAAAACTGTTAAACTTATTTAAGCACCATCAGACACTATTACAGTGTTAATGTAAAACATTACCTTTTTAATATGATTGATTATGTTTTTTTCATTTCAGACCATCTCTGAGACAATTGCTACTTTCTCTCTTCCTGCGGGGTTATCGTACCCTGTGCAGATACCAGCTGGAGTCACTCTTCAAACCGCCTCTGGTACACAACAAATGTACCTGTTATTGGCCTAAATATGTTTTATTTTTTTGTACTAATTTCAGATATTTTTATCCCTTTTTGTGTCACTGAGGTCAACTTTACAAGGTCAACGTTCCTGTTGTGGTCACTCAGGCTCCAGCAGGTCAGCCTCTTATATCCCGAACCACACAGCGAGTGTTTGTGGGGAGGGAAGTTCCTGCCCCCCAGTCATCTGCTGTCCCACCAAAAGCCACTCGGCCTCAGGAGGGGGATCCACCCTCTGTTCCAGCTTCTTCTCTTCAACTGCCTCCACATCCACAGGTTGATATCCCCCCTTGTCAGGAGAAGAGTGTCCCCCAGCCACCTCAAGTTCCTGCTGCTGAGCCATCGCAGCTTCAAGGGGCCCGCTCTCCAGAGCCAGACATCAACCTGGAAGAAAATGAGCAGAGTCCACAACGCGAACCTGTGAACCTCAGTATGAACGCCTCACCCTGCAGTCAGTTATTAGAGCAGATCAGCAGCGAGGAGGCTTTGACTCAGACGGCACAGTTTAAGAGCCGAGACATTGATGACATCCTGAAAGAAGTGATTGAGGAGGAGAGAGAGAAGGCAGAAAGGGCGAGGAACCTAGCGCCTGCTAAGAATGACAACCAGCCTGATCCTGTTCTTGGGGTAATTTGAAACGAATATACACTCAGTACACGGAGCCAGCACCTGGTTAGCTTAGCTTAGCATAAAGCCTGGATTCAGGAGGAAATTACTACTCTAGGTCTGTCCAAAGGAAACATCATTTGTCCTCCAGCATTCTTAAAGCTCACTAATTAACAATAATTATGAATTTATTGGTATTTCTTGGATTGGAATTCTAGGCTTGATGCTAAGCTACAGGGCTGTTGATCTCAAAGCGTATAATGTATTTCTGTTGGACTATTTTTTTTAAGGGGAAACTTAACCACTTTTACAAAGTTGAGGTTTGTACTTAAAAAAAGAAAATATGGACGTTTACCAGGTATAGAGGGTATAATAAATGACAGTGAACTGCATCGTAGGAAGTGTAGGATCCAGCATTTTCGAAGCATGAGCATACTAGGGACGGAGGTTAAGACCAATCGGCCTCTGCTGCATTGGTTTCGAACGTACTGTTTTTAACTTAATGAGTTTCCTAACTTTATTGAAGATCAATACTAAATAGTTGAGGTTGCCCTTTAATACATCTAAAATAAATGTTTCAATTAATGATAAAGGGAGCACTTATGTACTGTATCAAGACGTTTTGACTAAATCAACATTAATGGCATTACATTTCTACTGCTGTAAAACAGATTGCTGTTAACTCAAGCCAGTTCAGGTGTCAAATCTTGAATTATTCAAATAAATTACAATCTCATGGCATAACAGTTTACTTATTTTTTCTCGCAATTCCTGCTAAGCTGGACCTGGACTTCAACTACAATGAGCTGTCGGACATCGTTCAGCTGGATGGTCCTGCGGGGAACTCGGACATGGAGGAGGAAGAGGGAGGTCCCATGGAAGAGAACGACTTTCTGGGTATAATCAACGCAGAGGCCATTAAGGCCCTGCAGGAGGGGGAAGGAAGCAGCGACGGAAACAGCATCTCCTCCAACAGCGACAGCGAGGGAGCAGATCTCGCCGAAGCAGTTGAAGAGGTTAGTGAGATTAAGCTGGATGTACATGTTATCATGATTCTTTTTTCCCACTGTATAAGAAACAGATGGTCTGTGGCTATTTAATTTGTATTTCCTATCAATTAGGATCCTTTGAACTCAGGCGATGATGTGCACGAGCAGGACATCCCAGATCTCTTTGACACTGACAATGTAATCGTCTGCCAGTATGACAAAGTAGGAACAATTCGTCCCTACATTGGCCATCATTTGCCTCTCAACAAACCCAAGGCATGATTACTGACTTAATGTGTTCTCTCTATTGCAGATCCATCGCAGCAAGAACCGCTGGAAGTTTCATTTGAAAGACGGAGTGATGTGTTACAAAGGCAGGGACTACGTGTTCTCTAAAGCTGTCGGAGAGGCCGAGTGGTGATGAGCATCAGCACTCTTGAACGCATCAGATGATCATGTAGAGCGACGGGGAAACTGATTCAAAAGGGAGAAATAATCAGTGAATTTAGACCTCTTGGTGGTGTCATTTGGCTCGCAGAGAAGGCAGTTAAACACCTCTGTGTGAAATCACTGATACAGTACTTTAGTTTTTCATTATGTAATTATCAGAGCAATACCACAAGTAATTTAAAATGTAACAACCAATTACATACAGCGTTGCTTCTGGATCAAGTGTACTGAGACAAACGGCATGAATTTCTGTTGTTAAATATTTACCTGAAAATAATTTTCTTTATTAGTAGAGCAAAACATTATTTGACCTGGAATATCTTTTCTTCTGTCATGATCATGTTGCTTTGAAGGTACCTAATGTGCTGTTTGATTTGTAGTAATGCCTTGCCTTTAATCATGCTTCAAATACACAGAACTGCGCTGTTGTGCTGCATTCAATGAACCCTTTTCTTTCTGACAACCCTGAACAAAGCCTGTGTTGCCTTGTTACATTATTTACCTAATGAACTAAGTGTGTTTGTTTTCTTTTCACTATTGAACCAAACGGCTGCATGCAAATTCACTGGAACACGACACAGTTCATTTATAAAAGCCAGCATGGACACTAAAATCGATTTAATGTGCGACTGTTTTAGAAAAACACTCGACTAGCTTCTCACAGCTGGAACGAAAACATAAAGGCTTGTGTGACAGCTCCAGTAATAACTAAAAGTGAGTCTTTCATTCTTTGGTGTAGGCCTTTTTCTTTCTTTAACATTTTATATTTCAGCAGTGGTGACGGGAAGAACCCAAACAGAAGTTTCTAAGATGCTGAGTATTTTTTTTTTAAATGAGAAAACCCATTGTAAAAGACGGTTAGCATAAGTAACTTGCCACACTTAAAATTTCCAAAATGTCTCGTGAAAATCGAGGACATTTTAACAGCATTTTTAATTCTGGTGGACACAGAGGGTGTTTCTCAATGTCGAGGAGGCTTGCTTGGTAGCACATGTCTTCCGAGTCACTTGCTTCAGAAGCGAGGCAAGAATCCTTCCTAGCCTCTGAAAACCAAGAATTGTGGAACAGGCTAACAGGCTAACAGGCTAACGGGTGTGTCGGTGTGTGTCATATGGGAGGCCCCGCCTTAAATGGAGCGCGATTTCCGCCAAAGATTTGGAAATTGGTCCGTGCGCAAAGCATTGTGGGGATTTTAAGACCGCGGAGTCTACACATGTGCAGCCTTGAAATGTCTCGCTACGAAGGATCTGGAGCAGCTTTACTCGACATTGAGAAACACGGGTGTTTCTCAATCGCGAGTAAAACTGCTGCAGAGCCACTATTTCAAACATACTACGTCATCGAGTGCCGCCGAAGTACTGTTCCAATCTCCAGCATACTTGGAAATCTACCGAGCCCGGCGTACTTTGTTTGGAGAAATTTCGAGGCTGCACATGTGTAGACTCCGCGGTCTTAAAATCCCCACAATGCTTTGCGCACGGACCAATTTCCCCAAATCTGTGGCGGAAAATGTAAGGCGGGGCCTCTCGTATGACGCACACCTGCACACTTGCTAGCCTGTTCCACTCTTTGTTTTCCGAATGCCAGGAAGTATTCTTGCCTCGCTTCTGAAGCAAGATGCTCAGAAGACTTGTGCTACCAAGCAAGCGTACTCGACATTGAGAAACACCCTCAGAGTCTTGGCTGATGTGACATGCTGCAGTCTTAAAGTCCAAATGTCTCCTGAGTACATCAACACAACAAGAGATGGCACTAAAACTCATCTGTAGCAAGCAAAATACTTTAATTTTATCACATTTACCTCATAATATTAAAACAAAAAACTCGACCTTTATAAGGATTAAAACATCAATGAAAACTCATCCTTAGAACTTTGTCTCTTACACAAAAGCTGTTTTTACAGTTTTCGGATCATTATAACAATAACAATCCATGATTTAGGACACCTTTGCAAACAAACTGGCCCGTTTTTGTCCCCCATTCCTGTTTGGTCCATCTGCTTCTTTGTACCTCCTCACATGTGCAGAAAAGGAGGCAGCAGCACCTGAAATTCTCACTTTGTAAATGAACAGAGATCAAATCTGATCTGATGCCTTCCATGTGCAAGACAGAGAATCTCTTCACCCTGACCTTAAATGCTGCATTTTTAGGAGCAGATGCTGCCTTCATAATACAATACAATCATAATACAATTCTCAGTGTTGATCATGTGGCCCCTTTGTTTAGAAAGCAATCCTTCATCTTGATGTGAAAAGCATAGAAGCTCAGTGAGTTAGTTTTAGTTTTGGGTGTTTTTTGACTGCAGTGGGGATGTGAAGCCAGAGTCTGCGACCTGAACCAGTCAGCGTCAGAGCTGTAGCAGCCGCAGCGACTCAGCAGCAGGCCCACGTCCTTCCTGATCGCCCGTGTGAAGAGGGTGTACAAGAAAGGGTTGCAGAGGGAGTTGATGGGATAAAACAGGATGAGCAGAATCTTTGAGTGGGACACGGTTATCAGGGGCATCTTCAGGGCAGCAGAAATGGCGAAGAAGGAGATCGGGGCCATGCAAAGAAAGTCTGTGAAAATTAGCACAGCCATGCGCTTGGCAATTCTGGTGTCTCCAAGACGGGTAGAGTGCTCCGGATTGCGAACACTCAGATATATGCATATGTAACAGTAGCAGACCAACAGGAAAGCAGCAACATTGAGAAGGAGCACGGCCACAACGTAGATCTGAGAGGCCAGCGAGTCGATGTCCATGGGCAGACAGATGCTCACTTTGCTGTAACTGCTGACCCCCACAAGAGGGAGCAGGGCCACCAGCAGAGAGAAGACCCAGCCTGCCCCCATTAAGGCCGCCACATGGTGCATCCGTAGCCTCTTGTTGACATGCATGGCATTGGTGATGGTGTGCCAGCGTTCAAGGCTAATCACTGTCAGTGTGTATACTGATAGCTCGCTGGAGAACACCGTTAAAAACCCTGCTGTTCCACACCCGGGCCCGGTCTGCCAGTCAGTCGCATGGTTGTAGTACTCGTGGCGGGAGATGATGTCCATGAAGGCAATGAGCATCAGGTAGAGCCCCATGCACATGTCGGCGAAGGCCAGGTTACACATGAGGAACCTGGAGACGGTTAGCTTGTGTTTGCTGATGAGCAGCATAGCCAGAACAGCCAGGTTACCGGTCACAGCGAACACCGTGATGATACAGGTGAGACAGCGCAGGAGGGGGAAGCCCAGCAGGTCCTCGCAGGGGTTAAAGGCATCCGGCATTGGAGTGCACTTGACGAAGGGGCTGTTGACACACTCAAATTCCAGGTCAGGATACTGAAAGGTGATGTCATAGATAAAATCCATGCCATCTTCGGTAGGCTCTCTGAAGAATACAGATATGTAAAAAATGACAGAAACATTGATTTAACAAAATGACCTGCGTAAGTGAAAGTAGTACAATTAAGAGAGGAGTCAGATAAGTTTTGTCTTTTATTATACTATTGTTTTCTAAATAGATTACTCGAATGTTTTAAGGTGAGCCAACGTTAGATCAATTATGTCAGTTTTAAGAAACAATAGAGGTGGATGTTTATTTTCGGGGACTCAAAGTTCATCTTTATCCAGAGAGTTAATTGTTTTTAGTATAATTATTAGAAGTTAAAATGAAAAGTGTCAGATGAAGTGACAGCTCTTGGTTAAAATATTGAGATGTGATTATTATTAAGTAAACAGGCTTTGTTATTTATTTTTTTCGCCAAGTATTTTCCCAATTACAATTGCTTATCCATTGGTTCAATGTGGGTGCTATGTTAGAATATCAATCTATTAGGTTTAAACTGTCAAATCATCTATGCACTTTTAAGGCCATTGAAAATTAATGGTATGGTCCCGGGAAAAAGTATCCATAATGTAAGGCTTTGTCGTAATCTTAAACTTGAACTTTAAAATGCACCCCCCCCCCCCAACACCAATTATTGTAGTACAGTCTCTTAATGGACAGTGAAGTCACTTACTTTTCAGTTGTGCTGAGATCACACAACTTTGAGAAGTTCTTTAAGGCACTTTCCCTTTAAATAAAAAAGAGGAAAATGTTAGACCACAGAAAATGCCAGTAATCTCAACTGCTGTTCCAACTACTGATGGTCAGTATTCACAGGACAGAGCTTTTGTTCTTTGTGCAGATTGGATGGATTTGTATATCTCTGGGAGCAGTGGTGGGTTACCTTTGTTTCCGCCGCCATGTGTGGAAGGCGCAGCAGTGGCTGGAGTACGTGAGTTCAGCGTTCAGCAGCTCGGCCAGGCTCTCCGGGGGGGGGAGGGTCTTCAGAGCAAAGGCAGAGCTGGCGTTCAGATACCTCACCTGCCCCAATCCTTTTCGGGGGAGGGACCTCAGAGGTGTGAAGGAAACATCCCTGCATCAAACACAGAAAATATAAACATTAATTTCAGTGGAGATACTTTGACTGTTAGAGGGTTACAAAGTCTTTCCAACAGGAACAGCCATTAGTGTTTTGTTTATAATTATATAAAGCTATCTCAGGCTTTTTTCTGCTGAATCTCTACTGACAGTGGCAGAAAACCCCTAATTAAAGGTTTTCATTTTCAACAAGCCATCAAGGTCTTTTTACAAGAGGTGCTAATTCACAAAGAAAATCATCGCAGAATAAAGGTTGTAATTACTGACACGGACTGAACACATTTTAGAAAAACAACACTTAGGATCTACTTCGCTCCCTCACGTAATTGTTTTTCTTATATTCATTGAATATGAAAATACCCGGATGGTGCTCTTTAGGCCCAGGACGAGTAAAAGGAAGACCTTTAGCTTTTCCTGCATGGCCGTTATAACCACAAACACTTCTGTAATTCATAACTAAGATAAAAGGAAATGTGATATCTGAAACACAAGGTTACTGCTATTGGCTGCAGTTGTGTAATATATACCTGGCTGCTAAATCCTAAGAACTGTTACAGGATTTGTATTTTGAAAAGTATGTAACTTTTTTTTTTTATTATATTTTTATTATATCATAACTTAGTACTTTTTTTTTAACATATGTAACATTAAGCTGTCTGTGGCTCTTTCCTGCTGTAACGATGCACATTTCCCCTCTGTGGGACTAATAAAGGTATTCTGATTCTGATTCTGATTCTGACTTGCAATCAGAGACCTTGCGAGCTGCATGTGCATCAGGCCGGGATATTTGTTCACTAATCAGTATTCAGCAGTGCTTCTCGCCTTGTTGGTTGTTTACACAGACAGGCTGTCACCGCCCTAATGTTTAAACAATAAATTATAAACATTGTTATGAATATTAATCATGCTTCACTGGCCCAGTTCAAATATGGTAACCTTAATGCTGTTGATTCAAACATCAACAGATAGAGAATGTAGGTCTGTCCTCTCTGGTATTTAACTTTGCCACAATCATACATTTCTGATTTTGTGTTTTGACCTCTTGTCTATAACCTTTTAGGAACTGGTACATCTTCAACTGGGATCTACAGTTCACAGAATATATATTTTACTCATACACAACATTCATTTACCAGACATAGTTTGTAGTTACTTTGGAGTTACTTATTTCACATTTAATCATACATTCAGTGTACAACATGAAATGCTTTTTCATA